TATATGAATAAAAAACAGGTCTAAATTCTCTGATGGATTAATTCAGCAGCCCCCTTTTGATGAGTAGAAAAAGGGGGGATGTTTCGTCAATTCTCTCATTCCTCTGTAAAAGCGAATTGGGTTTTCTTCAACAGAAATCTTTCTTTTAGTTTTTAAGAAAAAGAGCTCTTAGCCTATGAGCTGATTCATAGTTCGATCATAGATGCTCTCTTCTTTTTTTTTGTCTTTTTTACTGACCGGCAACGGAATCGCAACCCTCAGTGTTGCGCCTGCACCGCGCTCAACCAGTGAGCGGGAACCGGTCTCCACATGGGATCTGAACCCTCGGCGGGAGCGCCACTGCGCTCCCAAGCGGTTCACTCTCCAGTGCGTGACCGGGCCGGCCCATAGATGCTCTCTTCTAATCATGCTGCTGTTGAGTTTTAGCATTCAGAACCCTGAAGCTGGTTCTATTGATGATGTGACAGTTGAGGAACAATCAATACAGCTATTGTATCATTAGAAACTGGCTGTTACACTGCCAGAAATTAACTGTTAGAATTTACTCCCAGTTTAAAAATATATTACAAAGTGTGTAGACAATATAACTTTGGCCACAAATACCTAAAAACAGAACTATATATATAGTTTTCCTCCATATAGTCTGGCGTAAGAGTGTAAATATAACTTCTTATAATGTTACTATTTTGTAAGTACTAAAAGCTAACCTAAAACTGGGTTCAAAATACATTTAAAAGCCATTTCGGTTTTAAAATATATACACCTTCTCATTTGCAGATGTAAGATCTTACAAGGGGATTACTTAAAAACCCTATATTGAATACAGTTCTCTTACACTGAGGGAGCAAAAAGTGATTCAGAGCTGGAAAATTTCTGAAAAGCAACTAAGAATTGGACATTTTGAAAAATACCACTTTTAGTGAGACTCACCATGTCTTTCTAAACCTAGCTTCCCTAACCTTAGCATGAATTTTTCCAGACTTAAAATGTTCCCAGATATGTTTTCTTCATTAGACTTAAAAGCTCAATGGCTTTATCCTTTTGAATGATAATGTGCATTTAAATTTTTAATCCTGTATTTGCATAATCCCTTTGTGGACTCATATTGAGCCAATGTCTGGCGTGGGATGCTTGAGTGCCTTTCCCCCTGGCCTTAGGGTGAGCCACCCCTGCACACCCTCCCCCCACCATGCAAAGCTTCCTTAATCCCTTTATTTATTCTCTCCTGCCTCTGACCCACACTACCCACCCCAGCAGGTACAAAGACAGAATTGTCCCGTGCATGATGTGACCACCAGGGTGTTTTTGAAAGATGATTATTTTTTGAGCCATAAACTGTAATGGCAAAACCACAGGGCTGCAAGGTTGCATCATTTGGTTTTAGGAAATAGTGAAAAGTTCACATCCTTATCTCACCCTAATTCCTGAGGCTCAGAATCCTCTGATTCAGGGAATGATGATGAAGCACTTAGTCAAATCAGAGGCAGGGATACACCAAGTCTGAAATCTGGGTGGGCTGGCAATAGCCCCAGTATTAATTGTTGTCCCTGTTGCTGTGCTCATTTGCTTTCTGGCCTGAACTAGGAAAGGTTCAAGAATGGTTAGGGGTGTATAAATTCAGTCTCATTTTATTTAAAACTGGATAATTCCCCCATTCCTTGTTCTAGTTCTTATAACTAAAATGCTCAGAAGGTAGGATTAAGCAGCCATCCCTTTGGAAACCAGGATTCGGCATGCATTTCAATTCTCTGATACCTAAAGGCAACCACAAAAGGTTCTGAGATTTCTCTGGACCTGACATCTGGAGCCAGGCTTTGCCAATGTCATTGCCTGTCTCTTGAGTCCACCCACCACTCACATATCTGGCATACTTAGGTACAAAGAATCAACTGAGGGGGAGACTTGGTATTTTCCAGAATTCAGGAAATTAAATTATCCACATAGGAAACATCATAGAGTAAACAATCCAACTGCTTTTTTAAATTAAAATATTCTGAAATAAAGATTAGGCTGTCAATGCCTTCTTTTATAGAGTGAAGGGGATTTTCTGCAAGGATAAAATCACATGTTTATATAGTTATCATTTTTTTCAAGTCCAAATGTGTAAGTGTGAGAAAAAGCAGCTTAAATCCCACATAATTCATGGAAGGCATTGAAATAAAGTGTTTGGAATTTTTGCCTATTTTAATGAATGACATACAGTGATGGAGAACAGAGAATCACCTTTCCAAGAGGCAGCCCTGTGAGTTACCATTTGAAATTAGTTATATGATTCCAGCCCCCAGAACTGGGCTGCGAAATATTAGCCCCTTGAGAGTAAGGGGTTAAGCATCGTTTGCTGAACTTCCTTTTTCCTCCCAGTGATAACCCTTCTATTAGATCATGTTTATTTTACTTGTAAATCACATCTCACTATAGCGGAGTTCAAAGTTTTAAACTGTTAGTTTTGGGATACAGTATCCAACCGTTTTCTTCCTTTAGCTGAGAGTCACTGTTTTTTAACATGATATCAATCTCTCTGGAAGAATAACATTGTCTTTATGTAAAGCTTTAAGTTAAACTACAAACTTTGTGTGTGATGCATTGTTTTTAATGAACTGTATTCTTCTCTTCAGCCTTATAATGCCTTCCTCTCTGCAGTAAGATGGATAATGACAGAACTTGTCTTGTAAGTACAATTTGCTGCATTTTTTGGAAAGCATTATTGCTTTTCTTTTTGTATTATAAAGTGAATTGGGAGACGGTGTTTCATGTTTTCAGTAACCATTAGATTCATAAGTCTGAGATCACCTCATTGAACATCTTGAAATATTGAACATTATGACAAAAAAATGATCTTTTATTAAGTTATTCATGATCACTCCTTATGCCCTTATGTCATTGTTTAGCAGACTAACAGCTTGCAATACACAAACCAAATTTATTTATTGTGGTTACTGTTAAATTTAACATGGATGTCTGGCTGTTTTTAATACAGCCTGGGTGGGCTGTGGTCACAAGAACAAACCGCCCTGGCTGTCCACTGTGTTACTTCGGATGTCTCGGCATGTGCAGGAGTGGGAGCTTGGGGGGTCGTCAGCTAGGGCTAGGGGCCTTTCTCAGGTATGATTTAACTGTTTATCGTGTCCGGTTATAGTCCTGCTTGGAGGGTGCAAGACGCATCTGTGACTTAGGTAAAACTTGAAATGGCATGAAGATGAAAGGCTTGACTTGTAGAACAGATATTGGACACACTGCAGAAACGTCATGTCACACAAAAGGAAAGAATTCCATGGATGAGCCTGCAAATCAAACTTTCTCATTCTAATTTTCCCTTGTTAAGGCTCCCAGATTTCTTGCAGATTTCTTGCCATTTGATGAACAGACATAGTATTCTTCATTGCTTTAATGTAATCTATATTAATTTAACAAAGTTTATTAATTCAGGTGGGGAGTAAGTTCCCTATACACATAAAAGACAGAGAAAATGCATTAACAGGTAATAGTGGGATTTTGATTGAGAGCTGCTAGAGATAGTAGCCATGAGCCTAAAAAACAACTGAGTTTTGATCTATCTCCATTCATTTGGAAGATGACTTATATTGATTTTTGCATTCTTTACTAGAAGTTGAGAAATTTTGATTTTATGGAATTACATTGTGGCATAAATTCATAAAGAGAAGTTTGTCATCCTCCCCCTCCACACACACACACACACACACACACACAAACACACGGCTTAAACAAGTTCGAGTTGTGGTATAAATTTTGAAGCATCCTTTATTTTATTATTTTTTTTTCCTTTTTGTCTTTTTTACTGACCGGTAACGGGATCGCAACCCTCGGTGTCGCGCCTGTACCGGGGACCGGCAACGGGATCACAACCCTCGGTGTTAGGCCCGCACCGCGCTCAGCCAGTGAGCGGGAACCGGTCTCCACATGGGATCCGAACCCTCGGCAGGAGCGCCGCCACGCTCCCAAGCAGCGCACTCTCCAGTGCGCCACCGGGCCAGCCCGAAGCATCCTTTATTTTTGCAGACCATAGTAGAAGAGAATTCTATTTGTATTTCTGAACTGAGGCAGGAGAAGCCCTTCAGAAATTGGGTATTTACATGGAGTCAAACGAGATAATATTGAGTGAATAATAACTAGAAAACCATTTTGACCTATACAACAGAGTATTTTTCCACTAGGAGTCATGAGCATTAGGTGCTCCTGATTTCAGGGTTTGCTGGCATTGGGAATAAAACAGCAACGAGATAATATTGAGTGAATAATAACTAGAAAACCATTTTGACCTATACAACAGAGTATTTCTCCACTAGGAGTCATGAGCATAGGTGCTCCTGATTTCAGGGTTTGCTGGCATTGGGAATAAAACAGCCTTTCACGAGTAAGATAAAGCCCAGTAAAAATTCAGTGGTGACTCAGCCAACCATGTTGGTACCTCTAGACTTTGATGTTATTCTTTCAAATGAGATGAGCAAGACTGAATAACATAGAATGTCACTTTTCTATTCAGGATGTGGATGACCAAGTAACATTGGGCTTTTCTACCATCTGTTTAGGTTCCTGGTGGAATTTAACCTCTGCAGTTGGTGGCACTCGGATATGACAGCTAAAGGTAAGCAGCAACTGGTTTCTGTTTCCTAGCTCAGAGTGCTGAACCCTGGGTTCACTGGCTACTTTTCATCAGGGATGTGCTGGCTCACATAAAACCACCCAGGATTTCAGATCTGTCAGCAAAAATCCACCGTTTGTGCTAATTGCCACATGCCATCCAGTCTGACAAAATTCCACCGGCTTCATTCAGCCCATGTTGCATGAACACTTTGACCTGTTTCCTTAACTAAGGCTTTGAGGTCATACATTGCATAGGTAAATTCTTCAGAAAGCTCACAGACAATGCTAAAACCTAAAGGAGACAGACACAATGCCTGTGTCTCTGGCAGAGTGAATGCATAACCATCCTATTTTTGTTTACACAACCACCCTCATAAAACATAAATCAATTTTATTATTCTCCCTGCTCAAAAGCATAATACTTTGAGCAGTAATTAGTAGAGAGGCATAAGTTGTGTAGTCAGATCATTACGGGTATGAGTCCTTGGCTCAGAAGTTGGCCTTCGGCAAGTTAGCTGATCTTTCCAAGATTCAGTTTCCCTATAGTAAGCACAATGGGGAAATAATATTTATCTCATAGGGGGAGAGAGAGAAAGAGTGTGTGTGTATGTATATATTCAATGATAAGATAAATCATGTTATATACTCACTACAGTGAGTATATAACATAATAAGACCTCAAAAAATGGAAGCTATGATTAATTCGTGATAATGGTGGTGATAGTGTTGACCACAATGACGATTGTTGCCTGTAACACCAACGCTCCTTAATGAGTGGTGTTTGCCGGCGGTGCCCCAGCTTGCTCAGTCACTTGCTATTTCTCAGATACGCTCTGATCTTTCTGTCCATCATGCATTCATTCATATTCATTTTTTTACTTGGGATACCAGATACTAGCAGACTGATGCCATTTTTATCATTGTTAAAGAGATTGATCAGTAATGTATTAGCATTCCGCAAGTGCTAAAGATATTTCAATCTGTTATTCCTTTTCTCTCCCCTAAGACCTCAGTCTGTGAGGATTTCCTCAATTCCCCAGGCAGAATTAGCAAGCTTTTCTTCTTGCTCCTGCCCCAGCCAGTTCACACATTATCCCAGCTTTCCCTCATCATTATTGCCTCAGTTTGTTTATTTGTTTTACACTAAATTAGAATTTCTTAATGGTAGGAGCTATGTCTTCACCATCATTATCTCTTAGCACCTAACTAGTGCTTAGCGCAAAGTAGGTGCTTGATCTTTGCTTATTAAATTCCTTCACAAATCTTTCTTGTGCCAGTCACTAGAGTCATAACTTTGTAACTTACAAATAGGCCCATTTTTCCCGAATCCAGGAACTCTCTAATTTCTAGTTAGCACATGAGATGGGGCCACATCTGCAGAGTCCTACAGATGCTTATGCCTGCATAGAGCAGCCTCTGATAACAGTGAACCTAATCCATGTGTACCAGGCTTGGCCCTGCGCTGAAAAGCTGACAGCCCAGTGGAGCAGGGCTCCTATGCTCTGCTTTCACACACACACACGCACACGCACACGCACACACACACACACACACCGTCCTGGTGACCCTCAGAGACTGGGCCCCATCCTGGCCCCTCCTCGCTGGGTTAGTACCAGTTTTGAATGGCAGTGAGTGCCCATAATCCCACTTCTAGAAATTTACCCTAAGGAAATAGACTGAGATGGGAATGAAGGATTCTATGACAAGGATATTATCAGTGGGGATATTAAAATAAGTTACGATCCATCCACAGAAGGGCACATTACTTTGTTTCCGGACACTTTTTAATGAAATAAATAATGCTCATGAAATTAAGTCATATCATAAAACCCAAGATACAAAACTGTATATGCACCAAAAAGATGTCCATTGGTGTGGGGAAGGAAGACAGGAAGTGAAGGAGGGTCAGGAGTCAGTGCGCAAAAGGGGAGTCAGTAAACAGAGACCAAAAATATGAGTCAGGAAAAGAAGACGATCATGTACCCAAAGAAAATTTTACCTATAGCATGAACTTGCTTAGTTTAAATTTGCACATGCTTCAAAAAGGAAAGATGAGAAGGAATCTACTACATGGATGCTTGTTTATCCTTTTCTACTCACTTTTCTTTCTTTTTTTTTTTTCCTTTTTGTCTTTTTTACTGACCGGCAACGGGATCGCAACCCTCGGTGTTGCGTCCACACCACGCTCAGCCAGTGAGCGGGAACCGGTCTCCACATGGGATCTCACTTTTCTTATTTGACTATCTTTCCCACAATTTTACTAATGGGGTGAAAAAGATAAATGATATTGAAAGCAAAGGAAGAAAGAAAATCAACCAAAGCCAAGACAATGGGTTGCAAGTTGGTTCAATGGCTGCTCTCTCTGCAGCACCAGTGATCTGGAGACAAATCTCCACACCCTCTGAATCAGGCTGTGAGCTGTCAGAGGCCAGAGCATCTGTTTAGTCTAATGGTTGGTGCACTGGCTGTGAAGTAGGCAGGCTCCTCTGCTTCTTGCTAGCTGTGAGGCCCCAGGCAAGTCCCTTGGTCTCCTTGGGCTTTGATTTTCTCATTTGTCAACAGAGATAGCATTAGGCATAATGTCGCTGTGAGAGATGAATTCAACAATACATGCAAAGCCCCTGTGCATGCATGGTGTGTGGGTGCTCACATTTTGGGTGCTGGTGGGTTTTTAACTAAGCCATTTGGCAGTTTCCTAGGAGTGTGCTCAGTTCAAGGGCAGCAAGCTGGGTGTCTTCAGTGGTTTACTTTTTGGTATTCTTCTGTACAGCTAATGAAGATGTCCCCTCTTCCTGACAACCTCCACTCCCATGTCCCCCATACTTGCCTTGACCTACCTTCCTTCCCTGTGATCTGTCTCCACAGTCATCTACCGACACTCTTGTTTGGGTCCTGTGGATTTGACAAGTAGTTTTGAGTTTTTGTTAATTGCCAGTCAACGTGATCTTTGCCAAGACCAGTGGTTTTAAACTGGGGGGCAGTTTTACTTCCGAAGGGTCTTTGCAATCCCTCAATATATTTTTGGTTATCACAACTTGAGCGGTGGGGAGTTGCTGCTTGAATCTAGTGGGTAGAGACTGGGGATGCCACTAAATATCTTACAATGTATGAAAGCCCCCTACCACAAAGAATTATTCAACTCAAAATGTCAATAGTGCCACCATTGAGTAACCCTGGCTTAAAATAAGGGGTGCAGGATAGGGGACAATGAATAAGGGAGGAGGATACAGTATTTGCACTCATGAAGTTTAGAGACACTTGTGAAGATTTTCATCCTGATATCTCATATACCACCCCTCCACAGTTGGACCAACAGTGGTCAACATTTTAGCTAGAAGAATGTGATGCTTTAGCTCTCTGTTTTCTGCCTTAGAAAGCTCTTTTAAAAGACCCTATATAGATAATTTCAACAAATCATTGTACTCCACTGCCAGACTGTGAGACCTTCTTCCCACAGACTATAGAAAGACCTTGTCAAGACCTACATCATTGACACATGGTGTGCCAGAGAGCTGGCATGTAGATTGTCTTCACATCCCTTCAGTCATACCTGAGAGGTAGGTACTGCTCGAATTGGTCACCAGACTTCTCTGAAGCATGTAAGTCAGACAGCTAATATATAGTGGACTCAGACCTTAGCCAAGACCTGCCACCCAGCTAAATAGTGGTGAGGGTCACAGCTACCCTCCTGTAAACCTGCATGTTGAGCTAGGTGCTGCCGTGAATTGTCTCATTCAGGCCCGTAGCCCTCTGCTGGGCATGCATATGACTTTTTCCATTTTATAGATTAAGAAACTAAATCAAACAAAGGTGAATTAATTCATCTGCAGGGCCGCTGCTATCATTGGGATATCTTATTAAATATAAATCCTAGACCCAGTCTAAGGAAGGTAAAGTTTTAGGTGCCATAACATTATTGACTTGCAAGGTTACTTCATTCTAAGTTTACCATTCCCTCGCTAGATAAAGACCCTGAGTTAAGACATACATCTTTGTTTTAGTTAAAAATGGAATCCATAATTACACTGTTTATCTGCTTCATTTCCTTAATGAAGGGGACTGTGGAAGCCCATTTCTGCCTGATTATCACAAAGGTATCATTTTGGAGAAGTTGCACAAAGAGAATAGAGCTTGCTGGCACCCAGTTGTGAATGGGAGTGCATTCACAGAGACAAAAGAAGAACACTTTTCAAATGGCAAATCTATTCATTCTTGATTGTCTGCACATAATTGCTGTGAACCCAAGTCAGTTATTCTCATCAGGGACATTCGTTGCTAAGGAAAAATGAAATGACTTCAATTGTGCAGATGCTCCATTGGGTGCTCCATTGTGAGTGAGTGATAGGTCATGGTGACATCCAGCATAACTGGGGTGGGAGACAGAGCTGTGTGATTGCACAGAGTGTAGCCTCCAGCATGTGACTGCTCAGGCTCACATGTGGACTCTACCACACTCAGCAGTGTGACTTTGGGCAAATGTCTCAACTTCTCTGAGATTTAGTTTCTTCATCTGCAAAATGTGATAGTAGTGGTGCCTTGCTCACTACGTGGTGATGAGGATTCCATCCATACAGGGCCCAGCAAAGTGTTTGGCATGTAGTAAGTGCTTAGTGAATACTGCTTGTGAAAGTGGTGGTGGGGTGGTGGTTTACTGTTTAAGTGAATAATGATCACCATGAACCCCTCTCTGTGGGACTCAAAGCAGGCTGTGTTTGCTTTCCAAGCCTCAGCTTTTCCTTCTTGAAGAAGAGGGGAATCAGCCTAGCTGAGCTCCATGGTCCTTATGTACTTATACCTTGGTAAGACAGTGAACTTTTAATACCTAAGAATTAAAACAGTGTGCAGTAGATTTCTGGCAGCCTTGGTTATTGGTTTGAAATTCCATAGATAAATAGTAGTGACTGCCAAATATACATGGTGTTTTCCATAGCACTCTAGACAAAGAAAGGTCTTCTTATTAAACTATGTTATTTGAATTAAATGTGGCCGTGGTTTTATATGATAATTTGTGTGTTTCCCAAAAGCACATCAAACAACTTCCAGCCAATCTCTAGTCATGCTGCAAAGGTACTCAACAGTTTATCACCACATCAGCATGGGTGCCCTACAATTGTCAAAATGAGTCTGGCCGTTAGTAGGGTTGGACTCATTCCATTGTAACTGGGCCCAGACAATTAGAATTAGAGATGAGGCAATTATCAGGCTTATTTAAATCTCATGTGATGCCTATCTCAGCAAGACCCAAGGACCTTTCTTCTTTTTATCCACTGGCCAAACTTCATAAAGCACTTAAATATATACGTGCTGGAGCCAGACAGCCCAGGTTCAAATTTCAGCTCTGACACATACTCATTGCATGAATCTGGGCAATTAGCCAGACCTCTCTCTTCCTTTCTCTATCAGTAAAAAAGAGATGAGTTGAGTTGATCATACTTCATAGACTATTTTTTAATTTGGTCGTGTTTTCCTATTAAATTAATACATATAAAGCAAAACAATCTCTTCCTTTCTCTATCAGTAAAAAAGAGATGAGTTGAGTTGATCATACTTCATAGACTATCTTTTAATTTGGTCGTGTTTTCCTATTAAATTAATACATATAAAGCAAAACAGCATGTGGCACACAGGAATATCTTAATAAATTGAGCTGTAACCATCATTAGGTTTTTATATGCATGATTGTGCTATATCCACTATGTAAACTGTCCTGTTTTGTTCTTAATCTTTATTTCATTTTAACTTACTTTTTGAAATTCAAATAATTTAAATGTGAAAGGAAGCTTCCTAATTTGAAAATCAGAATTACTTGCCATACAGAGGAGTCAATTGCAAAAATAAAAACTGTGAAAATAAAAAGTGTTGCCAAATTGTAGCCAGATACAATGGGCATTGTGTTTGACTTCACTAGGTTATAAGGAGAAAAGAGCAAATGAAAGAAAGGAATGGAAATGAAAGAAAGGTGCTAAAAATTCTTGGTATCAAAGATGTCCTCCTCACAGAACAGAGGCACTGAAAAAGAATTAAGAAGAGAATGATGTTAGCACCAAGAGCCTCTGTGTTACTGGTGAACCCGGGACACCTCAAATCACCTTACTTTGCTCCCACCTGAAAGGCAGACAATTTGTCATAAGAGACGGAGATTTTCACTTTTTTTTTTTTTTTTTTTTTTTTTTTGGTCCATTTTATTTGGTTAAAATACACCATTCAGGAGAATCATTCTTGTATTCAGCAAGCATTTAATGACCCTTTTGATGAGCTAGCACTGTTGGGAACAGTCTAGAACCTGGCCCTTAGGAGAAAAACAGCACACAGTCAGTGGACTCAGGAGTCAGGGAGGCAGCCATCTGCTTGCCTTTTCTAAGCAAAAAGAAATGGCTCAAAAAGGCTGACAGTCTGAGGACTCAGTGAAATACTGTACGCAGTGGAAGTCATGGTGGTATAAGAACATACACTTAAATAGCTCCCACAGTGTGCCAGTCGCTTTCCATGTATTAATTCATTTAATTCATAAACAACCACAGGAGCTTGGTACTGTTACTCGCATTTTGCAGATGAGGACACTGCAGTGTAGAAAGGTTAAAAACTCACCTGACGTCACACAGCAGTAGCAGAAGTCACATCCCCCAGAATTTATGCCCACTGAAAAGCCTGTATATAAGAAGCAATCATGTTAAAATATAAATGCTTAAAAAATGGTCTCCTGATCATCAGGCACTTACTTGGTTGTTACCAAAAAGTTGTTTTGTACATAGTAGCACTGATGGCTCACCTAGTGCCAACAGCAGCCCAGATGGACAGTCTACAAAACATCTACACATGGTTTCTGCCATCCAGTAAGTTGTATTTGTGTTGTAACTTGAGACTTTATCCACCCATCATTGTGTTAAAATCCTATTGAGCTTGGGAATAATAAGTGTAAATTATATATGAAAATACATTTCTATATAAACACCAGCCAAAACCTTTTTTACAAAGCTTGGGTATTGGAAACCTATATGCATTCTATTCATTAACGAGTAGACCTCCTGGGAAGAGTACCACTGGCATTCCCATTTTACAGATAAGAATACTGAGGACTTGCTAGAAGCAGCAGAGTAGGGATTTGTACTCCAAACTTCTCTTTCTTCATAGCCTTCATTCTTAACCACTCTGCTATAGTATCTATCATTGTTGTCATCATTTTAATGTCACAATGGCTTTATTAGAATACTAGTTTATTTAATTGTTGTTGCTATTTTATCTGACATTTACTTAGCACTCATGTTCCACATATTATACTAAATACTCAACTTAAATGGTCTTATTTACTTCTCACATCAACCTCTGATAGAACTTTATTATCTGCAATTTACAAATAAGAAAATTGAAACTTAGAGAGGTTTTTGATCTTGCCCACTGGACATAACCTGTCTAAATAATTTAATCAACCACCAAGCCATTACGGAGTGCCTACTATGTGCTCATCCACATACCAGGGTTTAGTGCTTTAAAACTGCCATCGTATACTATTGAGCAAGAAACTTCATAATAGTAGGATTTGGTTCATGGCTGTGCTTCAAAGACATCACGTATTTTACTATTTCGTATTTCAATTTTCTTTCTATAATAAAACCATGCAATTGTATCATGACCTTTGTCTCACCCTAAATAATATGGTATAACTTATATTTTATACATGTTCAGATATACATATGTGTTGTTGCTAAGATTGAGTAAGTCTGAGGTCAGATACCAAGTGACTGATGTTGTCCCAGAAAGTAGAATTCTTGTGATGCATAAATGATAGCTGATCAAGCCAGCACAACTGTTTGAGGAATTATAGCTTATAGAGTTGCTTGGCAGATGAAACCACTTGACTAATTAGAAAATAATGCATTATGCCGTGCCTAGAAAAATCACAGAGCAGCAGAAGCAGAACTGCGTTCTCAGTTGCTGTGGGCTGCCAGTCACAATATTGACCCTGTGCCTTGTGTTCTTTGCCTCTCCCCCTCCCCATCCCAACAGCCCAGAAATTAAAACAGACCCTGGAGCCTTGTGATACTGAATATCCAGCATTTGTCTCTGAGCGCACCATCAAGGAGACCACAGGGAACATTGCTTGTGAAGACTGCTCCAAGTAAGCCAGCACCCCCACTCTCACCCCCACACCTTTCTGCTCAGTACAGAACTTTCCCATATGGATCAATGCACTGGCATGCACACAGTGACACTGAGAGATGGGAAACATGGCTGACCTCTTGTGTAAGCAAGTATTGCCATCAGCTTGGAATAAACATCACTTGGCTTTGTTAGAATCATTTAGAGGTTGGGAAGCATTCAAAATGCATGAAAATGCATCGTGGAATACAGATTTTTAATCCAGTTTGTTGATGTTTGGAGAAAGCCCTAATTGGTGTTTTCCCTATTGACAGTTGGCAATTCAGCTGTTTGTTCAGGAATGTCCTTAAGTGTCTTTACTGAAGGCACCAAGCAAGCCTTCAGGATTTGCCCAAATCTGATGTATTGTAAGTGGTTTATCAGTGGTTTAAAATGCATTTCCTTGATGATTGATGAGTTTAAGCCTCCTTTAATGGTTTTATTGGTAATTTGAGATTTCTAGCCTCTTCAATACTGTTGGACAGTTCCCTGTGGGGTGATTGGATCTATTCTTATTGAGTTGGATGTTCTTTTTATGTTTTCGATGCTATATTTTTACAGTTATATGCATTGTCTATATGTCTTCCTAGTCCTTTGCCTGTTTGTTTACTTTCTATAGATGTCTTTTGATGCATAGAAGTTTTCTTTTTTAAAAAAAATTAATATTGCCTAATTTATTTCTCTTTTCTTTTATGATTTGTGCATTCTGTGCCTTGTTTAAGAAATTTTTTTCTATGCCCTTAATATCATAATGATATTCCGTTTCATGTTTGTGCTGAGCACTTTCGTGTGTTGCCTTTCATATTTAGAACTTGAATCCCTCTGGAATTTGCTTGTGTGTGTGGCATGAGGTATGTTTCTAATTTGGTCCTTTTCCATATAATTGGCCTGTTAACCCATATTTTTTATTAAATAGTCTATTTTCCCATCAATTTGTTATGACACCTGTGTCATGGCCGGAGTTCTCATCTATATACAGATCTTTTTCTAGGTTTTATGGTTTGTCAATACCATATCTCTTTAATTATTACAGTTTTAAAATATGACTTGATATTTAGAATAAGTACCCTTTCCTTATTCTTCTTCTAAGTTGTCTTGGTTATTCTTGACTCTTTACTCTTTCAAATTAATTTTGGAATCAGCTTGTTAATTTTTATGAATTCTGCTAGGGTTTTGATTAAAATTGCTGTAAGTTACAGATTAATTTGAAGATAATTGCTATCTTTTATGTTATCAGAGCTTCCCATTTATAATCTAAGTATATCTCTTTATTCACATGTCTTTTTCTATGCTTTTAAATACAGTTTATAATTTTATTTATACCAGATTTATACCTAGACAGCTTATAGTTTTTCTTGCTATCATAAATGACATATATTTAAAACTACTTTTCTAATTTGTAATTACTAGTAAGTAAGAGCATCACTGATTTCAGTATATTGAATATTTTATAGTCAACAAGTTGTTAAATGTTGAGATCTAATAGTTTGTGCATGGATTCTCTTGCACTTTTTGCATAGACAGTAATATCACTTGTGAAATGTTTCCTTTCTAATCTCCATACTTAATTATTGCTTTGTGTTTTATTGCACTGGACTTCTGACACATTGTTGAATAGAAGCCATGAGAGTAGGCGACCATGTTCTATTCTTGATTTAAAGGAATTGCTTCTAGTGATTTCATATTAAATAGGAAGTTTGTGAAATATATTTTTTTAATTTTATAAAATATAAATAATATACACTTTGCGAGTGTAACCATTTTTAAGTGTACAATTCAGGGGTACTGAATACATTCTTTTTTTTTTTTTTCCTTTTTTTTGTCCCTTTTACTGACTGGTAACGGGATCGCAACCCTCGGTGTTGCGCCCGCACCGCGCTCAGCCTGTGAGCGGGAACCGGTCTCCACATGGGATCCGAACCCTCGGCGGGAGCGCTGCCGCACTCCCAAGCGGCACACTCTCCAGTGCACCACCGGGCCGGCCCCTGAATACATTCTTAATGTTGTGCAACCGTCACTATTATCCATATCCAGAATTGCTATAGGTTTTTGGTAGCGGACAATTTATTAGGTTAAAGAAAACTTCTGCAAGAGGTTTTGCTGCGATTGTTATTGTTTGAAACTTAAATGGAATGTTGAATTTTATTTTAAAAAACTTTCTAAATCCATTACTAAAATAATTTCCTCAAATTTGTTAATGTGTTGAGTTACACTGATATAATTTTTAATTGTTTTTAATCGTATATGCAAGCATATGTATACATGTGTTATATGTACATATGTATGTACTATAAGGATCTTTAATAGTAGATAGGTGGTCTAAATGTACCTGCTTTCTCAGGATGGACCTCATTGTCATGATTACCAAAAAAAAAAAAAAAAAAAAAAAAAGCAAAAACGTATTGCTAAGTTCATTTTGCTCATATTATACTTTGAACTTTTTATCTGTGCTCAAAAAGGGGAGTGGCCATACTTTTCTTTCTTGTACTGTTGTTTGCTATTAGGGTTATTTTATTGTCACAAAATTACTTGGAGAGTTTCCCTCTTTCTCTATTATCTGTAACATTTTGTATAAGATGGAATATCTGTTTTTTGCTAAAACCCATAAAAGTATCAGTGACTGATAGGATGTTTGTGTGTGTGTGTGTAAATTTACAACTACTAAATTAGTTTCTTTTGTGGTTAGATATCTCTGGATTTTTTATTTCTTTTTGAAATGACTTTGGTAATTATATTTCTTAGAAAATTGCCTATTTCATCTCACTTTTCAAGTGTATTGCACACATTTGTCAATAGTGTTCTGTTTTGATTAAAAATGGTACCACATTTGTGATTTTGCCCTCTTTAACCTTGTGAGTTTTAGTTGATTCTCTCTCTGCCTCTCTCTCTCCTCCTGCCTCCCTAACTTCCCACTCTTCCTCTCTCCCTCTCTAGAGATGTTTGTTTTATCCTTTTTCTGTTTCTGCGATTTACTGTTTTAAATTTTCAAACATTTTGTGTTTGTTTAGCTTTTTATCTTCATTATACATATAAATTTCTCTTTACATACCAGTGTATCTCCATAAATTTAATATATAGGGATTTCATCATTATTCAGCTCTAACAGTTTCCAATTTTCACCTGTTTTTGGTATGGAAATGTTCAAATGTCATTTTAAAATTTTCTAGTACATGGGTTTTGAGGCTATCTTTTTATTATTGATGCCTAATTAAATGGCATTGTGATCTGCATAACACATGTTTTTTAGAGTGTTTGGAAGCTTGCTTTGTATTCTAGTAGTCCACATTTTTTGGAAATAAAGTTACATTCTCTAGTAGTTGAGTATAGGGATCAATATGTATCCATTGGATAAAGTGTGCAGTGTGTTAATTGTGCTTCAAACCTTCCTTCATTTTTGTTTTTGTTTTTGGTCTATTTTTGATGTCAGTTAACTCATACCAGGCTTATGAATTTTTTAACTTCTTCATGTCATTCCATTAGTTTTCCTTTAATATTTTGAAGTTGTATTACCATGGACATCCCTGTTCAAGACTGTTATAGCTTCCAATAAATCATTCTTTTTATCACTGTGTAATAACCCTTTTATACATGAAAGTGCTTTATGCCTTCGTGCCTATTTTGGTAAGACTTCCTAAGCATATTTACCCCTTTTTCTCTGTTTTCAACCCTTTTTGTCATTTTGAATTAAATTTTGTTTCATAAATAGAATATAGTTAAATTCGAAATGTTTATTATCTCTACTATCTGGTAGATTTAACCTTTTAAAATTTATTGTGCTTACCAATAAGTTTGGATTTATATATACCATCATTTTATATGGATTCTGTTCCCCATGTATTATTTGTTTACTTATTTCTTTGTTTATTTTGATTGACACATATTGATTGTACATATTTATGGGGTGCAGAGTTATATTTTAATACATATATACAATGTATGATGATCAAATCAGGGTAATTAGCATATTTGTCATCAGAAAACATTTATAATTTCTTCATGGTGAGAGAATTTGAGCTCCTCTCTTTTGAGAGGATATACAATAAATTACTTTTAATTATAGATGCCTAGCACTGCTGTGATCACTAGAACTTGTTTTTTCCTATCTATGTGTGATTTTCTATCTAACCAACTTCTCTCTGTCCTTTCCCCCCTCTCTCCCTCCCATTCTCTAGTAACCACAACTTTACTCTCTACTTCTGTAAGTTTGCCTTTTTTTTTTCTTCTATTGGATTTATTGTTTTCTCTATTATTTTTTTTCCGTGCTAGTATGTTACCCTTAACCTTTTTATTAACATGTTTTAGTTGGTTAGGATCTCCTCCCCACTCCAGAACAAAAAAAAATTGGAACCCTCTAGCTTGGATTACCTTCCATCTATCTTTTTCGTGTAGTATTTTCTAACATTCCAGTTCTCTTGTGTTTTTAGCCCACTACATATTTTATTACTGTTATTGATTTCTATAATAAATTACATGTTTATCTGTATTTTTACCGGTTTGTTTACTCACCAGTGCTTTCTTTTTAACTGTTGCTTTTTTTTTTTTTAATGGTACTTTAGATGTTTTTTTCAGGAATGATCATTCCTGGGAGTGGTAAATTCTCTCATTCTTTGTCTAAAGTACCTTATTTAATTTAATGTGTACTCTGCAGTGATGACTTAACTCCAGGGCATCTAAACTGAACTGTTTTGAAGATGTTATTCCACTGTCTTCTGACTAGGTTTGCACTTCTGTGAATAGTCTGGCTTTTCCCCCTTATTTAATGGTTTTTATGGTGCTCACTCTTTAATGTTCTGAAGTTTCACTGAAGTGATTCTAGATATAACTTTATTTCCATGTATGTGCTTTATGCTGGATAATTTCTTTAAATTCATATTGCAGTTCACTAATCTTTTGGTTGTGTCTGGTCTGTTGCTTAAATAATCCATTGAGTTTTTAATATACATGACTTCTTTTTATTTCTGGAAGTTTTATTTGCTTCTTTTAAAAGTATGTGTTTGCTTTTACACAGAGTATTCTTAGGTTCTCTGTACCAAATTATAAAGGTCTTTTAAGATTATCTTAGTAGTTTAAATTTGGGGGGGAACCAATACTCTTTTTCCTTCTGTCTACTTCTTTCGTGGCAGATTATTTGCTCATGTATTTTGTCATTTTGAGTGTGAACTGATCTTTACTATTAGTAATTATTTCTGTGGGAACAAAATGGAGTTTGAGTTTCTCTTCAGAATAGATTTACACATGGGCTTCTATCATGTATCCTATCAGTATTGACTGCCTGGGAATAATTGTTATGTAAGTTTTTGTACTTAGGGGTTTCTGCATCATATAATCACAGTAAATATTTTTCCTATGCAGTGTGTAGTTTAGGCTTGAAGTTTGATTTCTCATGGGCAATATTGTTTTCCTATTCAGAGCCTTAGAGAATGCCAGATTATCAGCTTTTTATACTTAGCTGCAAATGTACAAGTTGGCTTTTAGTGTCTTTTCTTGTAAGCTCGTTCACATTTAAACATGTTTGCTTTGTTTTTACTATTTTACCCAGTATGTCTGAATGTTTAGAAAAGGATGGCTTTCACATTTGCCCAATCTGCCTTACTCCAATTTTGCCCAATGAGCTTACTCTTCTGACTGGGGCATTCTAGAGCCACCACAAGAAAGAACTGAAGTATAATGTTTTAGTACAGGAGCCTTGGAAGCAGAGAGTTCACAGTGTGAGTTCTAACTCCATTAATTGCTAACAGTGTGACTTTGGACAAGAACCTTAGCTTTCTGAAGCTCAGCTTCTTCCTGGGTAATTTGGGGGATAATGATAGTAAGCATGTTATGACTTGTAAGAATTAAATGAGAAAATTTATGTTCTGAATTTAGTATAATGCCTAGTACAGAGTAAGTACTCAGTAAATGGCCATATTTATGCATGCATAATTCTGTGGTATTAATATTGGTGCCCCTCCCAATTAATATGTTGGAACCTAATACCCACTATCACAGTATTAAGACATGGGGCCTTTAGGAGGTGATTAGGTTGTTAGTTCTCTGCCCTCATGAATGGGATTAGTGCCCTTATAAGGGAGGCTCGAGAAAGCCTGTTTGCCCTTTCCAGCCTGTGAGGACACAGCAAGAAGGTGCCATCTTTGAAGCAGACAGCAAGCCCTCACCGGACACTGAATCTGCTGGTGGCTTGATCTTGGACTTCCCAGCCTCTAGAATTGTTAGCAACAAATTTCTGTTGTTTATAAATTACCCAGTCTAATGTATTTTGTTATAACAGCCCGAATGGACTGAGACACATATACCATATATAAGAATAGTTTTTGCCCCCTGCAAACCATTTTGTTGAAATGTGAATTTTCCTTTTCATAGTCCAACATCATTTCACTCTGTAGAATTCCTCCCCATAGAAAAAGGTACAACATAGATGTATCTCAGACAATCACAGGTCATATATGACTTAGGGTTGTTGATAATTCATGGCTCTGTCGTTTCATGAAATGGATGCCAGTGACTTTATAATGATTAACATTATAAAGTTAATTTTTTTTTGTCTTTTTTGAGACTGGCTGCACTGCGCTCAGCCAGTGAGCGCTGTGAGCGCACCGGTCATCCCTATAGAGGATCCGAACCCGCAGCGGGAGCGCAGCTGCGCTCCCAGCGCCACACTCTCCCAAGTGCGCCACGGGCTCGGCCCTGATTAACAACCTTTTTAATTAGAGGGATACTATATCCCCAATCATCATGACTACAGACTCCATGATAACGCTCGCATTTCACATGCTTGCCATAAGTAAGGTGGCCAATATCTCTTAACGAATGATTGGGAATCCTATTTAGTAAAGTTAAGGTTCTTATTTCCAAGTGAGAAAACAAATAGACCCAGGATAGGGGATTGCTAGGGCAAGTAGTATTTTTCCTTGTTGACTCATAATTAGAAACCAAAGACATGAATGCAGTTTGATTAAAGTAAGTGACCTAAAATTTTCAAACTAAAGAAACGGGTACCTTTCATTCAAAGGAATAGGTCATTGCATTCCTGCTATGGTCTAGAAACTGTGCCGGTGCTTTGGGAAATGCAAAGATGAATAAGACACAAAGTTGGAGCTGAAGGTATTTACACCACTCATGAGTGGTCTGTTTCAGATCTTGGATTCCATGCTGGGTTGGGGACTCACAGCAGACGGCGAAGTTGAGTAAGGCCTGCTACAGTTTGCCGGCAGCAGTGAGAAGACACTGCAGGTGCTGGAGGATTTCCTTTCAGAGCTTTAATTCAAGACCCCCTTCTGCAGCTCAATCACACACTGCAGAGGCAAAACAAAGACTCAGGGGTATGGGTGGGGAGAGGAATCGGGACTTACACTTTTCCTTTCTTTTTCAGTAAACTTTTGATTGGAGTACAGAAAAGCGTCCAACCCATAAGTTTGCAGCTTGATGAATTTTCACAAAGTGAACAGCCTGTACAACCAGCACTCAAGAAGGGAGAGAGCACTGCAAGCTCCCCAGAAGTCCCTGCCTGTTCCCTTCTAGGCGCAACCCCCACTTATAATGAGGTCACCACTCCCTTGATTTCTAACATCATAGATTGCTTTTGTGTGTTTCTAATCTCTAACTTGTGAGACGGCAATTTAGTTAATAAGATATGAGAGCTGATATTAATGACTTTGAAGGAAGTTTTTAAGGAATTACTTCAGAAAACAGAATAGGACCTTAGGGTGGGAAAAAATTGAAGATAGCTCAGCACTTCGGTAAACATTTCTTAACTGTCTATTGTATCCCAGACACTGGGCTACACTTGAGGAGAGAGCAGTGAATGAGACACAGACAATTCCCACACTCATGGAGTTTGCAGACAAGTGGCAATTTCATTCCTCCACAGTTAGTGCCATGACGAGAGAGTAAATGTTACACAGGAGCATGGGAAGGAGGCTTAGGTTGGTCCAGAAAGGCTTCTTGGAGGACGCAGCACCTAATGCAAGACCACCAGGATGAGGAGGAGTCAGCACGTAAGCACATCCAGGCAGAGGGGAGAGCATTGTGGAGGCGAGGGAAATCGTGGTTTGTTCAACAAATTGTTAGAAGTTCAGGGAAGCTGGAACATAGAAATGGGGGTGAGGAGAGATGAGAGAGGAGACAGAGCATGAGCAAGGGCCAAATAGTGTTGCTCCTGTGAAAGATTTCAAGTGCTAACCTGACACCAACATGGAATAGCAGAAATGTTTTAAGGAAGGAGGGGAAGATCAGATTCCAGATGATGGAAGAGGTGACAGCAATAGCAGTGACAATGGTGGACTCTTGAGACAGAAACTGATTCAGACAGACCGTTTGCCACCCCCATCTCCCCCTGCCCCGCTCACCCCAGCACACACACACTCTGGTGCTAATAGAGCAAAAAGCTCATGTGTTTCTCCTCCTCCTTCTCCTTTTAGGGATTAGAAATGGACACATCACTGGGGCAGCTAGTCAAATGAGAATTCAGTTTATGACTATTCTTATTTTTAATCCAAAAATCTTTGTGAAGCTTTGTTATAAAATTATGATATAATGTTCATACAACCTAAAAATAGACTCATAAACATAGTCTCTTTGGATGCTTTTCAAGAACTAGTCCTTTTCCTCTTGTCTTTTGCATACCCCTCTCTCTATCCTTTCTTGCTCCATTTTATGAAATATAATTCATTAGAAGATATATGTGAGTATTTATCAAAGTATTTATTTTGCATTTAGTATGAGTTTTGCATTTTTGGAATGTAATATGTTAAGAAGGAAATAATGCTATTTGATTTTTGTCGTCTTTCCCTTTTTGGTGGCCCGTAGATTTTTCAGTACAATGGCCAACACCACTGGTGGCAACCAGAAAGCTAAATGTACTCATCTGCTGTACATCTAATTCGCATAGAAGTTTGTCAACCTTTGCCTGGAAAGAAGATTTTTCAGGTCTAGTTCTCTAAGGCAATTACTAATTTTCAACCAACTTTGTAGGTAACTTCGGGTCAGGGGCAATGACATTCAAAAATAACACAATTGTACAGCACTTGGCCAGGAGTGAGCTGGAAACTGAGTTTGGTGAAAATTATAGTATTTTAGAAATTACGCACTAAGATCTTTTTCATAGAAAAACATCTCGCCTTCCGCAACGGAACATATAAAACTGTGTCCATTACAAACCAGTCTCAAGGCAGCGATTACTTTCCTCCACAAGCAATGGCAAACCATAGAGCAACAATCCCAAGGAACTGTGCGCTTCCCACAGGAACATGCTTCAGCTGCAGTTTGCTCTTGGACTGTCATTAACAATCTGCCCATGTCTTAGAAGAGATCAGATGACCCTGGTGTCAAAACCATGTCAGGTTGTTCTAGCCATACAGTCGAAGTCTTTTCGGTCTTCAAAGCCTTTCAAGACTGGCTGCTCCTGACTTCATTGCTGTGTCCTGTTTCCAGAATCACTAGATGGTTTTATGTGGAAAATACATCAGGAGGTGACTCAGTTGCCCCAAATAGAAACCTTCAAATTGGCAACTGCAAAAGTGGACATTTATCTGTCTATAGCATAGACAGATATATGATACATAGAGGGACAGCATGCAATGTTTAAAAAAGGATTTTCAAAAGTACAGGGTTTATTAAGAATGCAGGAGCCTAAAAGAAAATAAGAATTTACATAAGAATGTCATTAGGGTTAGTGGTTTGGCTGCTATAACCAATAATCTTTGTCATTCAATATCCCACTGATTATTAAATTAATCTGTTATTCAAACAGCAATCGAAAACAACTCAGCCCATATTTTCTGGGCATTTGTGACTGTCAACAAGTTTAACAAAATTGGATATCTAAAAAGAATGTAATGTTTTACTATTTTCCAGTATGTTTCTTTCCTTCTTGATAGTCACCCCCTCACACACACCCCTTCGTTGAGAAAGGGATCCACAAAGATTTTCTTGGAGTAAGAATAAATCGCAAAGTTAAATACTTATAGCCAGTTAAGAAGAATAATTAATCAAAAATAAAATTTTATACATGTATAATATTTTCAAGGCCAGACCTTTAAAAATCTTTTGACATTCCATGCTGGAAAGATATTAATTTTTAAGGTAAATTAGATTTTCGTTTTTGTTTTTTAGTATGTGCTTTTCTTTTTCTTTTTTTGTTTGGCTCACTCATCACTTTTTATAAGAACTGTGTTGCCATCAGTTTCACTTTGGGATCTGTACACAGCTTTGCTCATCTTCCTGGAAGCTCCAAAAGCTGTGGCTACACTTTTTTTCTCTCATCACTCCTCCCCATGCGCCTTTCATTTATCCGCTAAACTGAAAGAAAGTAATTGGTCTCGAAGCTGTGTTGACATGTTTCGTGGGCTACAGTTCAGAGAACCATAGTTCAGGGATTCCATTTTCCTACAAACGACTCCAATTTCCCGTCGAGGTCTCATGCTGGGTGGGCGATTTACCGCAAGTCTTCAGACTGTTCTCAGTGAGTGCCCTGCAGGTGTTCCTACCAAGTGGGCCTTCTGGAAATGACCTGGAAAATGGATCCATTGCACAATGGCGACATGACATTTTCCTTGTGTAAAGGTTGAGAGGATGGGCTTTGGGACTGGACTAGCCTGAGCTACCACACTTAATAGTGCGGAGATCCTAACTGGTTGTCTGAATGTCCTGGGCCTCAGTTTGTTCATCTCCACAAGAGGCATAATAATAATATGTGCCTCAGGATCTATGTATTGGTTTTTTTAAAAAAAACATATAACCCTTATGCTTTAGCACAGTGCCTAGCATAGAGCATATTCTTTGTAAATGGGAGATATTTTTATAGAATGCAATCCACAGACCCATCTGTGTTGACAGGGATGCAGGAAACCCACAGAGCTCCAGTCAGTCCCCTCTTCCAGATTTCTCAGCCTGGAAGGTAAAAATGTTAGTTTCAATCAGAAAAAGTAGATGGTGAGATTTTTGCTCCAACAAGACTGTCCTTGATAATGTAACTCTTGAATTTTTGCCACTTCCTGGGTCTACTGGAGCTCTTGGTTTATAAAAAATTTGCAATTCTGAATCTTGGAACTACATATATTCAGTGGTGATCAGATACTTCATTACACAAATTAGATACAGACTTTGCCAGTGGGAGTACATTAGTGTCATGAGTAATATAATTTGTAGGCGTTAAAAAGTAACAGTTTTTAACCACTTAATTTGCAAGCATACACTACTAATTTGTTGAAATGTTTTTGTGTCTTCTGCTCTATAGATTCTTACTAAACTTCTGTACTTGATCTTATTTAAAACATGTAAATAAATGTGATTCAATTTCCCATGAAATAATCATTGGCCTTTTCAAATAGGCTTAGTTTAATTTCTAAACAAGTCAACTTTCTATTCTACAGTGAGAGTAACTTCAATGGTCAAGTTCTTCCTTTTGCAGATTGATGGCCGTGCATGTTATTTTGCTCCAAGTTTTCCTTGGTGTTGTTTATTCCCTTATACCTTTTCATGTTGCATGGTAACGTGCAGAAACCAAGTCAAATTAATTCCTGTCTGAGTTATATACTGTCATGCCCAAATGGAAGTGAAGGAAAACCAGCCTCCTCCTCCCTGTATTTTCTTGCTTCCTGTTCCACATTTCAGAAATATGGTGGGAGTAACTTCCAGATCCTAAAAAACGCCTTTGATCACAAAAGATTTAAAAAATAACTTTATTAAATCCAAAAGTTTGTTGTTGTTGTTGTTTTTGTTTTGTTTTAACAATTTGTCCTGTAATATTGAGGCTGTGCCTCTCAGCCCTTATTAAAGGGCTGCCTTCTTTTTACACAATGGGTATGTGGCCAGGTTTGAGTAATTCCGTGTTAGCTCTTACAATGAATAACCTAATTAGTGCTGTATATTTGTGGTTGCTAAAAATGTCCTGGTTTTAAAACTTTTAAAAGGGGTGGAGGAGGTAAATGCTTATCTTGGGAACTTTATTTTGAATTGTTGACATAGTGCCATAAGATGAAAATGTGGCCAAAAGTATTCTAATAATTGAGATGAAAACCTCTGGTTGATTTTTCTAACAATCCTTCTGCATCTCAATTCAATGAAGCATTTACTGGGGACAGGGCTTCACTGACTCTCTTTCTCAGATGCTCAAGGGAAAAAAGTGCCCTATTTCCAGATGCAATGATGATTACAACTTTGAGGATCCAGATAGAATGGACGTTGTTGTGTAGGTGGTGCTATCTTTACTTGCTCTTTGATAAGTGTTTGGAGAGGTTTTAGTACAGGAAATGTTGTAAATTACTGTTTTCCCTCCCGAGATCATGATGCAAAATGAGAGGGCCACATGTCTATAATGACTAGGCAGGTCTCTACCTGACATGAATTAGTCTCACAAACAATTTCCCATTTGTACATTTCTTAATGTGTGGGAAAGAGGGGTGGGAGCACATGTAAATTTGGCTGGGCTCACAACACAGTGAGGCTTTCCTCTTCCATGCTGGAGGGTAAGAGACCAGCATAGCCAAGGGATATTTTTAGAATGTTTATTTGCATGTGGA